GAACCACTGGCATAGAGTTGCTTATGAGAACAGTCCCACAAGCAGGGCCTTGCAGCTCTAATGTACAGCCCTTCCTCTGGACACGTTAAGTGACTCAGATAGCTTTTTGCTGAGCTCTCCTGGTTCTTGGCCAGGTTTTAGATTATTTAAATCCTAGAAGAATGATCTGAAAAGAGTGCTATGTGGCTATGTTATTTTCCCACTGGTCTCATTTTAAACTACAGATCAATGGTACTGAGGGCTCAGATTTTGGTTGCTTCTCATGGTCACCTTTCAAGGAGCATCTTCTCCCCCTGGGACACCTTGGCCAAACTGTTTGTAAGCAAATTTCAAATGTCACCCTGGGACCTACCGCTCCCAGACTTAAGGAAGGCTGTATGCAATGAAAAAATTTCCTGTAAAGGCAAAAATAACCACTTCACAAAAGGGAATCAATAAGGCCAGACAATTTTAAGTGATCAGCTCATACGCACATTGCCATGCTCCTAGCCCTGTCTCCAGCCCTCTCCTGTCTGTCCCCCCCACCCCCGTTCCTCTCCCCTTTCTTTATATACAAACCAGTGACTCTCTTTTTTACTGAGAGTGGGGATCAGGGAATGGAGGATACCAAAACCCTTTGCATTTAGGTTGAGACTAAGCAAACTATTAATAAATGCCAGTACAAAGAACTTGTCCCTTCCTAACTTTGTAACTATGCTAATTTAAAAAAAAAAAGGCTTAATATCTTGCAGGATTTTCACAGTATGAACATGTCTCCCCTGAGTTGCACATTATTAACACTTGGAAATTAAGCCCTTCCTATAGTTCAGGAATCACTTAGGATTCCTCTCTCGCAGTATGTGTGATTCCCTGGGCCAGGATGGCTGCAAAGAGAATCATGCATGACTGTCATTCTGATGTTCTCTGCTGTTGAGTGGGTGCAGGCGACACAGCCAGATGGGGTGCTCTGAATCCATGGCAGGTGTGTATCATTCCTGAAAAGATTCTCCCTTGCAAGTCACATGTGCACACTCTGCATGCTTTTCTTTTAGGCATATAGTGCCATAGAGCTTTATAAGTAAGAGCTGGACTGCCAGAGTTGAAAATCTGACCTTGGACAAGTCACTTAATCTCGCCGTGCCTCTTTTTCCTCTGAAAAGTAGAAAACAATAGTGTTGACATCATAGAGTTGTTTTAAAATTAGTGGAATGAGTATAAGTAAAGTCCTTAGAACAAATGCTGAAACACAATATTACTACAGCAGTGTATGATATTATTGTGTTCAGAACGTGACCCAAGGTCCTTTACAACAAGACACTTTAGCTGTTGTGAGAATTTTAAGAGTTTGAGTTCTGGAGTCATCCCAGGTGGTTCTTGGCACTTGCTCTCTCAGGTCTTGGTTAGATAACCTTGAACAGGTCCCTTGACCACTCTAAGCTTCAGGTTTTTATTACCTTAGAGAGGGGTTCTTATATTTTCTTCATAGGGCTGCTATGTGGATAACATGCACAGAAAGAACCCATCAGGCTCTTCTATATATAGAAAGTATAGACCACTTTCTATACATGTCAGCTGTGCAGATGTGGAGGAGGTTAATGGCATGATGACCATCTATGGAAAAATTTTAAGGCAATTTCCATATTTCCCTTTGGAAAATAAGGGAACCAGCTATAGCAGTCCTTTGAGACCTGAGGACCATTGTTAATGTAGCTCTTTCTTTGACTGTTGGAGCCAGAGAGGAGAGCACTTGGAAACAAAATAAAACTTGGGGGCTCCTACCAAGTATTTCAGGTACTTGAGTTCAGACACCCCTGGAAGCTCACCTCCTGAGCTTTAGTTTCCAGCCACCCCCCACCCCATCAGGTATCAAAGCTCCTAAAGCAGGGAGATAAATGAATAGCCCCATGGGGTACAGGGCACAGCAGACGAGACCCTAGAAGAAATTAGTTTTTTCCCAAAGATTTATTTATTTATTTATTTATGCACACAGAACTGGGGTACAGGCCAGAGGTGCAGGGGCAGTGAGAGGACTCACCAGAGACAGAGTGGGGAACAGAACAGGCAGATCGAGGAAGTACACTGCTGAGAGGAGCAGTGGGCAGGTCAGGAGAGGTCTACTGCGCCATGTGGTCACCTCCAGGGCAGGGGTCAAACTCATGCTGAAGTGGCTTTAGCTTCGTAGTGCTGTGCTTTAATCTGCTATGCCACTAGGGAGGGCCCGAAAAATATTAAAAACTAGGTTTTTAATATTACAGTATTTCCTTCAATACTCAAAGCTTCCTGCCTCCAAAGGGCAGGGAAGATGACTAGGACAGCCCCATGTGTGTTCCACTCATTTACCTGGACTCTTCCTTTCCAGACTCTTTTCCTTTCCTTCTTGTATGACTCCTACCTTTTATTCAAGACAAGGTTAAAGTGACATTCAGAGGGCCAGTCCTCTTTAGCTATACATGTAAGTTGGAGGTAAGAGGGGGTGGGCAGGGACCAGGACATTTTGGAAACAGCTACAGATGGATGGGATTTCTCTTGGCTGCGAGTCACTTATGAGAATGTTGTCCATTTTGTGAGCTGTAGAATGGGAAGACATTAAATAGAAAATTACAAGTTCTGGAATAATTTGAAGGTCGGTCTCAAGCAATGAAACTTTTCTTGTGCCCAGTGTTGACTGTAAAAGTCTGGCAGCAAAATAGCTGCTTCTTTTAGGGACCGTGACTTGTTCATCTTTAACTCTTGCCAGTGGTGTGTGCCTGCCACAGTCTGACACAAAAGCTACCCAACAGGGCAGTGGGGAGGAAGCTTCCTGGCACCCTGAGTCCCAACTGATGTCCATCACCACCACCACCCCCATCTTCCAGGGGCAGCTCTGAGAGACCAGTAAATCAAATCTACAACTGCAATACTGTTCCTCTGAGACAGACCCTCACCTTCATTTCCTCAGAAATGCCTCCATATCTTTGGCCCTTTCTCACTCCTCCTTTGTTGTCCTTTATTCCTCTTTCTTCTGGTAGCACCTCCAGACCCACTCGTTTTAAAGTGCCACCCACGGAATCGAACCCCTTCTCCCCTCCTCAGGCCTGCTGCCTTTCTACCTCTGGCCTCTTCGTTAATGGAACTACCTGTCATTTACACGGGCCACTTCAGGCTTCTTAACTGAGCCTCCTCCATCATCTCTCCCATCCACCTCCCGTCAGGCACTAAGTCCTATTGATTGTTACAACTAAATATTGAACAACTATAGTAGGTATTCAGATAGTATATGGCAGAGGAATATAAATGAATAAAATTCACCACTTTATATTCATTCCTACTACTTCTGTCTTGAATGAGTGTTGTTTTAGTTTGCTTTTATTTTTTTTTAAAAAATCAAATGTATAGAAAAGTTGAAGGAAATTGTGATGAACACACATACACTCTTCCCCTGCATTCATTATCAGTGGTTAACATTTTGCTTCACTTGCCTTTTCTTCTCTTACTCTCGCCCCCGCAAACACACACACACACACACACACACCTCTTAAATTTGTTGTTAAGCCACTTGAAAGTAAGCTGTAGGAATTATGACATATCACCTTTAAATACTGTAGCACCCATCTCCTAAGAAGTATAAAGTTCTCCCTAGAGAACAAATTATTTTCCACAAATGCCTTTAGAGTGAAAACTTATAAACTCGGGTTTGCAGGTAGACTTCATGATGTCCACAATCACATGCAAAATTTTGAACAGTTGAGCTGTTTCTTGGTGGAGAAGTTCACACATTTCGCCAGAAGCTCACACCCCAGCCTCACACCTCAGACTAGTAGTGGGAACCACCACTTGTCTCTCCCTTTTCAATCCAAATAAGGTCGCCACATGCTCAGTCCTTGGCTTCCAGTTACCTCGGGCTAGTGGTGACTCAGAAGCTACCTAAAATGTGGCGAGCGGCTTAGCTTCTGGCTGCGGGAGAAAATCATTATTTTCAGAGGAGCTCTCCCATATGCTTCCGAGTACTTTCACAGCACTACCCTCCGCAAAGGGAGCTGGCCAGACATCCTGGAGATGGTCGTATCTCCATTCCACCACCCCTCTCATACCCCTTCCCCTACTGTGCAAATTTCTACTTTCCTTTTAAGATAAGTTGCCACTGCCTCTGGGAAGCTCTCCCTGAAATTTTCCCCAGTTCTTGTGCCCCAAATTCATATGCTTATTTGTTTACCTAGCTTTATTCTTAGTAATTTAAAAAAAATATTTATTTATTTATGCATACAGAACTGGGGTACAGCCAGAGGTGCAGGGGCAGTGAGAGGATTCACCAGAGACAGAGTGGGAAGCAGAACAGGGAGATGGATGAAGTACACTGCTGAGGGGAGCAGCGGGCGGGTCAGGAGAGGTCCGTCGCACCATGTGGGTCACCTCCGGGGTGGGGATCCAACTCGCACTGAGGCAGCTGCAGCCAGCTTACAGTGCTGCATTCCAAACCTTCACGCCATAGGGAGGACCCTATTCTCAGTAATTTTATGAAACATCCAATATACAAATAAGTTTACAAGATGAAAGGATCATACAGCCCTTGGGAGTCCCATTGACCCTCCTGTCCTCTGTTCTTGAGCCATGTTCTTAGCCCAGCTCCAAGGGCTGCGCTGGTCACAGGCCTGGTTCACCTTCCCCACATGCATCTGCGTCCCCCTCACGCTCTCAAGGACTCTAATTTTGCACATTACCTCATATCCACAGCCTTACTTTCTCTTGGCTGTCCAAATTCAACGACTTGAAAAGACAACCCTTCTTCTACGTGTGCTAAAGATTCCACAAAATGCTGTGGGGGGCAGACAACAGGAAATGGATGTCTGTCCAGGCACAGGGACATGAGTAAAGCATAAGCGGAAATGAATTCCAAGGTCTTGCAAGGTCAGCCATACTGCAGGTTGTGGCTGCGTGGACTAGAATGCGATGCTGTGGCAGGCTGGACTATAAAAGCAGACAGTGGGAGAGGGCACAGTGCCCTAGCCGCGCCCGTGCAAAGGAGGACGGAGCACAAGCTTGGGGCTGTTTCTTTGATTTTTTCCAGGGTGACTACATTGTGCCTTTCTAACACCGGTACTAACTCTTCTCATCTAGAAAGCAGATCCTGACTTGCAAGATGGCAAGCAGCTGGCCTTTTGGCTGGGGTCCAGGTCTGCAGCACAGGTAAGAGACCTGCACTGTATTACTCCAAGGCAGAATGCGCTAAAGTGAAATACAGCAACGCTGGTGTGAAAGGGGTGGCTGTTCTGTTGTGGGTCCATTTGCTTGCAGGAGGGGTTGCCAAAGAGCATTCCCAGGAGGGGTTGAGGATTCAGAGGAGAAGGGTTGGACATCCTGCTGAGCCTCCAGGTCCCCCAAGGAGTAACCCCCCAGCAGCCACAGGCCTGTGCCGAGAAGCTTAAAGCCTGCTAAGCTGTCTGCTGATGTCAAAACTGACCTCAGCTGCCAGCGCCCTCCTCCTGCTGCTTCCCTGGTGGTTTGGCCCCTCTGGGATGTTAGCCCATCTGCTTTCAGAAACGTGGCTACCCCAGTCTGCCTCCCCCTATGGCCATCTTCCTCTCCCTTAGCAGGAATGCCCGGGGCATGGTGAGCGATGTTTCTGAACAGATTCAATCCCCTGTGCTCCAATCGGAATGCATTACCAGGCAGGGCGCGTCAGCCTGGCGATTTGGCTTCGACGATAAATCTCCTTGCTTTCATGAGTTTAAATCAGACTTTAAAACATCGCCCTTAATGTTCTTTTAATGCAGTTTTCCTCTGAATGAGTTCCCTTTAGGTCCAGTCCTTGTCATTAATACACTCTCTTGGCAAACGAAGGAGGGCTTCTTTGAGGAAAACCCTGCCAGTTTAGGAAACCAGTTGAATTGCCTTGGTGATGCCAGGAGCCTCTTTTGCATTTTACAAGGACACTTGAGAAAACAAAACTCTCTGACTGTAAATTTAATTTTCTCTTGACAGCCTTGGTGTCTCTGCAGCCTCAGAAGTTATCCATTACTTCTTTCTTCTGTAATTAAAAATCAAGGGGGGGAAATGTACAGGATTAACAAGTTCTAATTTTCATTGATGAGCTCTAAGAGCTTATCAATAATGGGATCAGAAAAGCTGCTTCAGCTAAGCTCTATTTTCCTAGGACGTCTGGTTTTGATGGAGAATCTCTCTCAGGATGGGAAATGCTGGCTTCCCAAGCAGTCCCGTTGCCAGAGTGAAGACGAAGGGGCAGAGCAGGCCAAGGAGTCTCTAGCAGGAGTGAGCAAAGGGCATCCCGGGGCTTGCAACTTTCACAGACTCAGCATTCAGGCTCGGGGGAGCTGATTACAGGGGAAGATTAAACAGCCTGTCTTTCACACACATGTTCTTTTTCTATGGATGCTTCTGCAGGAAAGAAGCTTGCAAAGATCTGCTTAAGAGGAAGAAAGATATTTCCAATTAAAAGGATATTGGTGGTAGTTCCTTTTGAGTTATACATTTGTAGATATAAATACTTTATCAGTGGATAGGGGCATCCGTCCTGCTTCTCAGCCACAGAGCTGTAGCCAAGCCTGGGTTTCTCCAAGAGACGCTGAGCTGATCGATAGCATCTGGGCTGCGTCTTTCAGAAGCAGTGACACACAGGCTCCTTGTGAATGTGACAGGCCTGTGACAGGAATGAGCTGCTTAATTGACATGCACAGGTTCCACAAAACTCCCAAACAAGCAGGTACAGAAATGACTCAAGCTAGGATTTGTTTTCTAAAGAGGGCATGCAAAGCAGAGATGCCATGGAGCAGGCGCTGAGCACCTGGTCTTATCTTACATGCCTGTTGATAAACAGGCGTCTGCTCTGTGCAGCAGGGTTGGGATTAAGAGTTTCAGGCAGAAATTTGGTGGTTTGGTTCCAGAGCTTTATTGCTCAGCGTTGGAAAGTTCAGGCCATCTCAGGAGACCCAACAAATGCATAGGGTAGCCAAAAAGGCGGGTAGGTGGTATCCAGTGATACCAGCCTGCCTGATGCCACAAAGAATTCCCTACATTAAAACGACAGAATCACAGATTACTGTGTTGTCCACTTCTAGGAGAGCACCTTTTTTAGGTATCTGGCCGACCTTCCCAGCATCATCCTTTCAACAGTGATGATAGGTTGCACTGCAGCAAAGTCTGGGTACTGGGGACAGTCTCACCTGTAGGATGCTGGAGGAAATTAAAATTAAGTAGTGATGTGATAGCATGTGGGAGAGTTTCAGCAGAGGGTCTATTATCATTAGCTGTGTGATCCAGGACATATTACCTAACCGCTCTGCACCTCCATGTAAAATAAAAATGATTGCAGTCCCATCTCACAGGGTTGTTATGGAGGCTAAGTGAGTGAATACTTGTGAGCACAGAGATCAGTGCCAGCACATGGTGGATTCTCAATCAAGTGTTAATAACTCTAATCTTATACATGTAAGCAGTAATCTTGCCAAAAAAGAATGACTGATTCTGCAGAACCCTTTCTAGCTCTGTGACTTTAAATGGCCAGAAGGACTAGCTCACTGTTTTGAAAAGGTGGGATAATTGTGGTGGTACGCAAGGTGATCTGTGGAGGTGTGGGTACATGGGTGGATGCTTTTTTTTTTTTTAAATAATATAATAGTTTATTTTTACATCATTTTGTGCCTTTTTCCATCTCAGTTGTAATCCCATGAGCTTCCCATCACCAAATCACCTGTGTGCCATGGGTGGATGCTTTTTCAGTTTCAATAACTTTGCACTTTATCATGAACTAATAATAATAATAATAATAATAATAATAATACCACCAAGTGCATTTCCCCCTGAATATTATCAGCTGACTGAAAATGCAACTTTTAAAAAGTGAAATATATCAGAACTTGTACTATGGAATATCAGCAAAATTATAATGATACCTGATTTGAATCTTAAAGGATGAGTAAAAATGATAGAGGGACTCCCGGCAGTGGGACTGCATGTGCAGAGGTCCAGGGAATGATGCTGCACAACAGGAAAAGCTACTAGGCTACAGAGGGAGCAGCCAGGACATGGAGGACCTTATGTGCATGATCACAAATTTGGGCTTTGTTCCAGAGGAGATGGGAAATACTGGTGAATGGAGTCAAATGGCGCCTGAAACAGGAAGCTGTTGAGCACATTGCCAATTAAGAAGTGAAGTGAACATGTATAGGACCAGTAGTTATGGGCAGAGTGAGAGAAGCAGGTGAACTCAGGACATTTTTTGGAAGGCAAGAGAAGATGCCCAGAAATCTTTCTGAGCATCTAAATTGATGCTGTATTGACGACTAAGTTGAAGAGTGTTAAGGATATGAGGACAGGGAAGTAACCATTGCAGTGTGGGTGAGAGTTTGAGGTCCTTGGGGGAGACTATAGCAGACAGAACTGGGCTGGAGTTGGCTCAAAGGCAGTGAGCAGTGGAGATGGAGGGTTCCAGCTACCCCTTCAAGAATCGTGGATGAAGTGGGTAGAAGAGAGTCTCAGGGCAGCTCTGACTTAAGGATTGGAGAACCGTAGGCATGGTTTATTGGCTGAAGATGATAAGCCCATAGAGAGCAGGAGGTGAAGTCCAGCAATATCTTTGAGTCCCTGGACTAGCTCATTGGTGTCCCCAGTGAGATCCTATGTGGCCACATATACACGTGATTGTCCCTCCCTGCCCACTCCTGTCCATCCTTTACTGCCCACAGACCAGTCAAAGCAGACAGTCATGGAACATCTACTCTATCGAAAGGAGGGAATCAATAAAACAAAAATAAAGTATAAAATCTGTAAGATGGTGGTAAATACTCTTGACCAAAATAAAGCAGGACAAAAAGATAGTGTCTTGTTGGGTGATTGGTGAGTAACACTGGTGATGTAGTGAAATTGGAGAAAACATTGCTGAGAAGGTGATATTTAAGTAAAGATCTGAAGAAGGTGAGGGGAGGGGTGATGAAACTATCAGGAGGAAATAGGTTCTCAGTAGAGAGGCCAGGGAGAACAAATGCCCTGAGTTAAGAGAAGGCCACAGTATCCCAGGGAACAGCACACCTGGAAAATATCCAGGATGACATTTATGAATCAGTGCACATGTCATCAAATCTTCCAGTAGTAAGGGAAAGGGTAGAATTTCCCAATCCTAAATTTGGAAATCATTCTGAAACTCTGGTCTTGCCCTATAGAAGTCAGGCAAGGAACATATACTGGTGGATTTGAGATCAAATATTCACAAAATCAATCCAAGATGGCTTTGGAATATGATGTTAGGACAGCGTGTTAGGGTAGTTATATGAGAAGCCTGAAGTTCAGGGTCAGGTAAGGCAATTATCAGAGCACCTGAGACTCAGCAAGGACTTGTCTGTAGCCTAATTGAGTCAGGTCTAAATCTGCAATGAACCAGGGAGTTATTGACTTGAGAGACTTCCATCCCCTTCTCAGGGACAAGACTGGTTCCAGAGTCTCTCTGGCTGGGACCAACTCTAATGATGGGATCAAATGGCTCCAGCTTTGAAAATATGGGGTGACCACAACCCAAAATCCAGCCAACCCTTAAGAACATTGAACTATTAAATATAGGCTCCATTTATCTGTCAGTTCCTGTAACTACACTCTTGCCATAGATTCCTCACAGGAGAATTCTTTGCAGCCTCTTGACTTTGGACCTGGTCATGCAGCTTGGCTTTAGTCAACAATAAATGGGTAAAAGAAATAGTGAGTGTGTTCCAAACCAAGACCTTCAGAGCCTTTGCACATTTTCATCTGCTCTCTTGAGCTTATCATCAACATGAGAACAGACATTGGTCCTAGAAGGAAAATGGGTCACAAGAAATAGAGCTGCCTCAGCACTGCAGCCTGAAGCAAAGCCACCAGCAGCCCAGTCTAGACCATCCAGGTCCCAGGTGGCCAGTGTACCCAGAGGCAACACTGAATGTTTAAGACACAAAGACAGGGCAAATAACTTTTGCCCTATCTCAAGGTGCCTAGAGTTGTGCTCTGCCCCCCCCCAAAAAAAAATACCTCAACATCAACTTGATGGTTTCAATGGAGTGGCCACTGAAGTGGGAGCTTTGGTTCTCCATGCCAAGGGAAAAATCTCATCACTCCCCTGCAGGTAAGAGTAAAAAGCCACAGGATAGTTTCATAGACACCAGAGGCAGTGACCAAGTTGCTGTCCTGTGCCTGCGACTTGTACA